CCTGCATACGGGGTTTATATCTCTCAGTTGATTCGATACACAAGAGTATGCTCTACGTATGAAAAGTTTCTAAAACAAAGTAAGTTATTGACTAACAAGTTGATGAAACAAGAATATGACCAGTCTCGTCGTCATTTCGTAAGTTCTATGGTCGATACAATGACTTTGTCAGCAAATACAATTTATCAATTGCTGAGTGACGTTTTCATACTAATTGTTAGGCAATTATTTACACTTTGAATTGTCGACGGATTTTTTTGTTATTTCCCGATCATGACAAGGAGCACATGGCGGGTGTGACCGACTGGGAATGCCAACTCCTCCATGGCACCTGATCCCACATCTGATGTTTTAGAGGTCCGTGTTTGCTCTGCTCCAAAATTTGTATTGTTTAATGCACTTTTGAGCTTGAAAACTGTACGTTATCTCCATATATTTCAACATTGAAAATTTTCACATCATGCATTTTCTACCAATCCCAGGAGAGGTAGTGCATACTCCGAAAATTTTCAAATACTTCAACTCTGTATCTATACTGTTTATACTCTTACGCATATATGTATCTTTCCAGTTACTTGACTATGTATCATTATAACAATACGATATGTATATTCAGTATATCTTTTGTAGATGCATTTATCAATGATTATACAATTAAACACTGCTCATATTTACGATCAGGTTTGTTCTATCATTTGGATCTTCCTCCATCTTTTGTTTCATGTTTGTAAATCTTTTTTGCTCCTCCGGGGGCCCAAATTGGACTAATGAAATCTTGTATACTTTTCAAATCACTGTTCTTGCCAAAACGCCACCTCCTGTGATTAACGAAATGTTTGAAATTGCAAAGGGTACAGTGCAGGAAACTAATTTTGTTACAGCATCGATGCTGATTTGAATGCTTCCTTTGCTTGCTGATTTGAATGCTTCCTTTGCTTGCTGATTTAATGCTAGTAATCCTTATCCTGATGCTGTTTTATAATTAGGTCAATGCTAAAGGAAGTAGCATCATGCTACCGGAAGTAGATAATGAATTTCAGCATTGCCGTTTAAAGCAATAAAAGTGTTTTTTACAATTATTTGATCATAATATCTCACTATGTATTAATAATGTGAATACTTTAACCAATATTCTTTCTTTCTTTTTTTAATTTTTTACTGAATTAAAACTCATTGATTTTCTGATGCTAGTAGGATAATGCTGATTTTATATAGGTCAATGCTGGTTTTATCCTTTGCTTGCTGATGCTGATCCTGGTAATGCCGTTTTTTAAATGCTGATGCTGATGTTAGCTCGATCCTGATGCTACTAATGCTTATGCTGATGCTGGTTTATGTAACAAAATTAGTTCCCTGTACTGTACATGGAAAACGTATCGAATACTCTTTAGATATTAGGAATATAATAGGGCTAAAAAATACATTGAGAATGATGTCCAATGCAGCTGGAATAAAAGATCAACATCGAAAGGCGCAGTTATTTATTATGTATTCATTTAATTGACATAGAATTGACTTAAAGCAAATATGTTGTTTTTTTTTTTTTACTTATTTAATAATCAATAACTGTTTTGAATTAACAGCTACATGTATGTGTAGACTGCCCGAAGCATTAAAATGCTTTCAAAGTAGTATATTTGATTCCGAAATGAATTAAAGTTTATTCGAGAGTTACGTAATTGAGTTCAGCCAATTTATGTAGAGGGTTATCTTGGCTGTCACTTGATTTCGTTGGTCAGGTGACAGAAAATTGTGGTATTTTTTTTAGGTGTAACAACAAAATTGCTTCGGTGCAGGTGATCAATACAATTATTATTGACCTTTTGTTTCATAAATGATTTCACGTATCCTAGTGTGCCGAAAATGGGCTTGGGAAAAGTCATGACATAACTTCTTTACGAAATATTTCATAGTATTTTCAACTTAACGACACATTTGAAGGTATTTTCTACTCTGTATTGTAATCTATATTAAAACAAAGCTATTACATGATTTTCCGCAACGACATTAGTTACAGAACAAATTGATTGTAGGGATTTTCACAAAAATTTAAACCAATACCTATTAATCACTTGCACTATACTCTTTTATACAATTCAATAAATTCTACCTTTAACCACAGATGTATTACGCCATAAAGTCTAAAACCAGCATTCTTTAACATTTTTTCACATCTAGTTTTCATTTCCATTGTAAGGTATCTCCGCATAAATATCATCAGTGATGTTAATGTTACAATGTTGATCTTGCATACGTAAGTGAAATTTAAGAACTTTGTAAGTTTCATATATAATGATCAGTAAAATACTGAATGATATCAGTGTCCCGATTGAAATTGTAATTGCTTTAGAGTATAAGCGGTAATTTTCAATTTTTTCTCTGCAGTAATTTTTATTGTGCTGTAAAGCGATACATTCCAGGATACTGATGAATCTTCGTAGCCTTTGGTTTCCAGAGCATCTGAAAATTAGGAAGGAAATTTCAAAGCAAAATGTCATATCGATGCAAAATGTAAAGTGAGATTAATATATTTTGCGTCAAGATCAGCGCTGAATGTACTAAGGCAAAATGTAATAAAACACCTTTGGGATTATTACATTTTGCTTGACTAAATTATGCTTTGAGGTCAATGCAGAATGTAATAACGCAAAATGAAAATTAAACTTTTTTGGATTATTACATTTTGGGAATTTATTGCAATCAGGTACGTTTTCCTTCCATAAATTTGGATATCTTATCCAAAATATTACTGAATTTCCTGTCTATATAGGTTTAACATTGATCCTGACGCAAATTTATCAAAATAAAATTGCATAATCCTTGTTAGTACCATAACAGAATGAAAACCATATTTTCGAATTTTTTTGAAGTTTTCTTATTTTAAATTATTAATATTCATTACTTCAATATATATCAAATAGGATTTAATTTTATATATATATTTTATGTTCAAGCCCTTCTGTTATAATTTATTGTAAATTCTTTAACGTGTTGCACTTCGAAAAATGGTTTCTCCCTGACCTTGGAGGAATGATGTTTTTATTACAATACTGTGATTTATTTATTGAATAAAAGTGATATTCTGTCACAGTGTGAAAGGATATCAAAGTAAGTACAAAATAATTTCTGGCCTCTCATAAGATATAGTAACTTAACCATAGAGACTAAAACTGCCAATTTCTTCCCAATTATGTTGCTAAAATCAATGTAATTGAATTGTTTTGTTCTGTGGATATCGGTCTGGGTACCTCAATCGGCAGAACACCTGACTAGTGATGCAGGGATCCCGGGTTCGATTTCCGGTCCAGTTAGACATTTTCTCCTTTCCTATTAGAGATTTGGTGCCGTTGACCACCCTGGACATGCAGGTGAAAGTCCTGCCAGGGGCAGTAGAACTTGGGTTGTGTCTTCGAGGGTGAAGAGAATTTAAGGAGGAAGGAATGTAATGGTTTGCACCGTAGATATGCAGGGGTCCCGGGTTTGATTCCCGGAACCATACATTTTCTCCTTTCCTGTTTCACTACAATGTTTTCAATCTCATAATTGCTAAGCTATGTGGTCTCAATCACTCAACTATTACGTGACAGCTTATAACACTGTATTTAGAAAAGACAGAGGCAAACAGAAATCAATGAAACTATAATTAACAGAAAATTCAATGTTGTGTAGTTAACGTTGTATATGGGATTTTTTTTATATTTTACTTGTGTTTCAAAAAATACTGCCCCACTCGTGAAATAAATTCCATAACCAAGTACAAAACATTGAATATCCTTTATGCCTCTAGTAACACATGCTATTATTTCAATTGGTAATAATGAAATGTGAGTAAATTTGAACACAGAATGTTAGGAACACAATCTGTGAACATACGTATATTTATATTTTTAATACTATGTAGTATTGGCAGATTTTTGAAACATCTAGAAATGTTATTTGAATCAGTTTACAATGATATAAGAATTTTGTATTGAATCTATAGAGAGTATAATACCATATTACAATAACCTCGATGCAAAAAGTTATAACGCAGAATGTAATAATCAAAAAAAATGTTGTTTTTTTTTTGTTTTTGTTTTTTTTACATTTTGCGTTATTTCGATCTGCGTTGACTTCGACGTTAAATGTAACAAGCATTCTGAGAGTATTGCATTAGCAATACTAGTCCCCTACCGGCAAGTGTAATCTGGTTCCCGTTAAGAATTGAAAATGTCATAATTCCGTCAAAAATCAATGGAGCAGAACGAAATGCAAACTTGATCTATAACTAATGAAGGTAAAGTCACATACCAAAAATCAGCTCAATATCTGAAAGCGTTTAGAAGAAAACTGCGGAAAACCCCTAACAATTGAAAAGGCCATAATTCCGTCAAAAATCAATGAAACGAAACGAAATGCAAACTTGATCTGTAACTCATCAAGATACACTCACATACCAAAAATCAGCTCAATATCTACAAGCGTTTAGGAAAAAAGTGTGGAAAACCAAGTGGAACAGACTGTCAGACAGACAGAGGGACAGACGGACCGACAGACAGACAGACAGACGGACAGACTCAGAGGAAACCTATAGTCCCCTCCGGTTTCACCGGTAGGGGACTAATAACCCAAACGTATGTTAAAACATTCTGCGTTAATTCAGTCTGTGTTAACTTCAACGCAAAATGTAAAAACCTCAACAGAAATTATCCAAAAAAGTTGTTATAATATTTTGCGTGATTACATTCTGCGTTAACTTGACGCAAAATGTTGAAATCTCAATTTATTATATTTTAGGTCGCTATTATATTTTGCGTTGTAACAGAGCATACCTTATATTTCTGAAATCATTTGCATTTTTCCCCTATATATATCAGAGAAAATGGATGTTGTTTTTGCAAATATTTGTCAGTTCTTGCCCCTTATGATGATATAGGTGGCGCACGACACGTTTCGGTTCATAGTTACTTCCGGTTTCGCTTCGATTTCGATAACATCAGAGTAGTCATAATAAACATCAAATGCCCACTTGCTGTTGTGTGCCTGGTTGTTCCACCAGGGGAGGATTAAGCTTTCCAAAGGAAGAAAGGATAAGAAAGCTTTGGATTCGAGCCATTCGACGAAACGATGAGGATATTACATATAAACATTGGACGCCACAGCCATTCAGTGTTGTGTGTCACAAACACTTTCGTGAGGAAGACTTCACCTCCGAAACACAGCACGGTTAGTAAGATTATTTGGCTTCATTTTTAGTTGCTTAATTATATTTTGTCTTACAACATAATTTGTTTATAGTTCATAACAGCTGTGTAATAACGCGACGGATACACATGAAAATTTTACTTATATCTATATCTGCTATATTAATACAGCAAAAATCAAAGACTTCATTGAAACTTTTTTTTTATTAAATGACAAATCAGACTGAGAATTTGGCCATAGAGATGATGCTTTTATATAAGACGTAAACCTTTATAAATATAATGCAAATATACATACAATAATATTTACTTCTGTTACACATGTTCATAGTTGACACTGAAACAGCTGATATGACGTAAAGAATTTCAATGATTAACAGTTTATCATTTTTACATTTGCATGATTTATTACGAATTATCTCCATTTATTTTTACATGTTGACAAGTGCTTTTCTTTTCCATTACCAGCGCAGTATCCTAATATTAAACAGTTTGATATTATCAAAATATGCAATGGAGTGGTCAATCTTGTGAAATATATTTTGAAAAATACCAAGTTTGCTATTTCATGGCTATTTTGTTATGTCATAATTCATCAAGATGTGGTGAGGAAATAGAGTCATTCTGCAGTCATGCTCTTTTGGAAGTTCCTGACAAGTGGATTAGGAAGTCACCACTGGATACGATAAGCCTTATAATACATATATCTTTTATTAGATTTTATACATTTTGGACTAAAATTTTTAAACATATCCTGATATATCATGTTTTTTTTTTCTCCAAAACATTTTCATTATGTAGTAAACAATAAAATATTTTTGATAACTTGATAGGCACTGAACCACTAAGAGGGCAGAGAAAACCTGATGCAGTCCCTTCCATCTTCCCTTGGACCAAGTCAAAGTGGAGTTATGGTGTTGATGAGAGGAGCAAGAGAGTACTTGCCCGTCGTGCCAAATTGGAGAAAGATGACCGAGAAAATTCGGAAATGGAGACAGAAATGGTTTCAGATGTTTGCAATGTGTATGCAGTGGGCAACAGTGTAGAAGTTGAGGATGAAAAGTCTTGCTTCAGTGATAATGATATTGAGATAAGTGCCCCTGTTGCACCTGTTTTTGTAGATTCATCATGTCAAACAGCAAAATCGCCAATCATGTGTATTGAAAATTTCATGTATGATGATGAAGGCATCATGTTTTATACAGGGTTGAGTTCCTACACAGACTTTTTACATGTACTGTATAGTCTTGGTGAAGCAGCCTTTCATCTCAATTATATTTATAATCAGGTTCAAAATATGTCCATTGAAAATCAGCTCTTTTTGACACTGATTAAGTTGAGGCAACATAAGCCCAATTTTGAATTAAGTAGACTATTTTCAATATCACAAACAACTGTTGAAAATATTTGGATTACCTGGGTCAATTTCATGTCAAGACAGTGGAGGGAACTGAATTTCTGGCCAGACAAAGACCTGGTCTCCTTTTTCTCCCCCTCTGATTTTTACAGTAAATTCCCCTCCACACGAGTTCTGCTTGATGGAACTGAGATTCCTGTAAAGAAACCTAAACCACCCATTGCACAACAAGCAACCTTCTCTACATATAAAAATAGAAACACTGTCAAAGTACTTGTAGGCTCAACTCCAGGGGGTTTAATTTCATATGTGTCTTCTGCTTATGGAGGGTCTGCAAGTGATAGACAGCTTGTTGAACGGAGTCCTTTGGTAAGTACTGACTTATTTGAACCTGGCGATTCTCTTATGGCAGACAAAGGATTCAATGTCCAAGATTTGTTTGCTCCTAAAGATGTAAGTGTAAATATTCCTTCATTTTTTAAGAAACAAAACAGAATGTCAGGAAAGACAGTTTTACGTGATCGCAGAAGAGTTCATATTGAACGGTTGATAGGGTTAGGAAAGACATACAAAATTCTTAAAACACCCTTAAATACAACCGAGACAAAATTAGCCAGTGAAATTTTATTTGTATGTTTCACACTCTGTAATTTCAAAAAATGTATTGTTCCCAAACATGCATGATTTTGTCTTCAATGAAAATGAATGAACTGAAGTTGGTTCACAGAGTCAATAACTATGATAGGACATGGTATATGTTAAAACATTTTTAATGGAAAGTTTTTATACTTTGACAAAACATATTCAATTTGTGCAGTCTGGTTGAAAAAAAAAATTCACATGCTTATCTAATGAACTTCTTTTATTGATAACAAGGTGGTAAAAATTATAATACATTTACACGTACTACTTTAATATTACCCTAATCTAACCAATGGATTGTCAGTTTGTTTATTTATTTATTAATTCTCAATTAGTTGCAAGTATTTCTACAACTTAGTCTCATAGCTAGTTACATAGCCATGTGAATAGATTTTGAGGTACATGATCAATGTACACATAGAGAGTATAACTATAACTGTATGAACATGTACCCAGTGTAAGTTTCTATTTACAACATATAAAGAAAAAAAAAACTGTTCATGTGTGGCAGTGCCTATAGGTCCATAGATGTCATTGTTAACAACTTAAATTTTAGTTCATTTTGTGGTCATGGTAATAAAAGTTCTTTAGAACAGCAGTCTTGAAGTATGTGTCAAAAAATGAAATTGATTTCTGCAACATTCTGTCAATGAATGCTTGGTCTCTTTGAATTGAGATAACTTTAAGATCTTTCAGTGTGTAAACAACTAAATAACAGCATGTTTTGTTTGAACAGAAAAGTTGCCCTTGAATTTGATAGAAATAGTCATGAGTATTGTCTACCTCTAAACATCCATCAACATTTTTTAAATACGTGACAGTCTCCCCTGATATTTTATTGTATTTTGCATGGAAGGGGCATTTAACTTCAATAAGTGTACTTTGGTCCAAGATGGCATCAGGTGAAGAAGCTATAAAAGGATGCAACTTTGAAACAAATATTCCACATTTTGAGGTTTTAACATTAAATTTTTCCTCAAACTTTTTTATTGCCACTGACTCATAACATCTACCATGCAAAATAGCAGGTACACGAATTTCTGGCATATGCTTTGTTAAATTTTCAGCCAGCTTTAAAAAATCAGTTTTGTCAGTAGCCTTGCAAATTCTGCCAAAGTTGGAAGAATGAATTCTCTTTCGTCTCTCATCTCGCCAGATAGCACTTTTATTTTGACCGCGTGTTTGCTCTTCTAACTTAACAATATCCTCATCTGAAATATTTGTTATATTCATGTTTTGTAACCATATGTATGACAATGGATGACTTAAATAGTCATGGTCTTTTTCTAACCCAATTGTGTTGGCAAGTGGGAAGATTTGTGAGACTGCTAAATCACTAATGTTGGGATGATTTAGCCAGGCATTTCTGAAGGTATCTGGATATCCTGGCATATTGCGATATGCTCTTGGTCTTGGATCATAACTAACATCCACTTCACCTGCTAAAGGCAAGTCATTTGCCTTTATTGGACTGCCTTTGTACACTTTGGTATGATGGAAAGTTTGAAGGTTCTGAGTGCATGTCTCCTCGGTTACAATGTCTCCACTTTTACAAAACATCTGTAAACTGAATAACACAACACATACATGCTTACATGCAGCAGTTGGGCCCATGCCCACAGCACACTCGCACTGACTTTCCACCATGCACCCATCCATATCAACACATACATCCACTTTATATGACACACTCTTCTTCATCTGTGCCTTGCATTCTGCCTTCACATAATAAAAGTTATTTTCAGCACAGAGTCTCACATACTTTAGAAACTTGCTCTCATATATGTACATCACATTGCTATCTACACTTTTATTCATTCTTTCCAGAAATGCTTTCACTGCCTCTTCTCTCACTCCTACTATCTGAGTATCTTTGTTGATATCTTTAAACTTTTCATAACCAGGCACTTGCATACAATACTCTCTCTCTACTCTTTCTGCAGAACCAAAATTTGAATTTCTGTCGTAAGCTTCAAGTCTGAAATATGTTGAAAGGGAAAGACTCATGAATGTATTTACAGCTTATGTGTTTTTAAAAATAATTGTTACATATTTTTAAAGTTACTGCAATATTTTTTATGGTCTAAACAGAGAGGTTTCTCATCAATAATACTCTCTCCCTTTCTATTTATCTATCTATCTAAGCCTATCTATCTATATAGATACTAGGCAAGTAATGCATTACCATGACATTTAGCATTACCCCAAGCCTGATACTGGCCTACTAGGTGCACAGGCCTCTGAATTTCTATCAAAAAGCCGTTATATGATTGATTAGAGTAATATATATACCCCCTCTATATATAAATGTATATAAATATATAAATGTATTTATATACAGAGGGAGTATATATATAACTCTAATCAATCATAAAACGGCTTATTGATAGAAATTCAGAGGCCTGTGCTAGGTGATAGGCAGTCGGGTCACAGTAATGTTACGTGTATACAACAAGGCCATTTTTAATTTAAATTATTATACGCATTGTACAGATGATCTAAGATGTATTTGACGTCAAAAACTGACTGGAATTTAAAAAAAAAATGTAGATAGTACAAATTATAATTGAACTCACTAAAATCTACATAAAATATGCTTTTGGAGAACTTTTATTGAAATTACGAAGAATATCAGGTACCGATATCGTCTTAATCACGATTCTGTGTACGACAGAGAAAATTATGGCTAAGAAACTGCTCGCAAGTATACCTTTCAACCAACTCTCTTTTGCGACCGGAAATGCGAGCATTTCGTTTCCGTAGCTCTTTTCTAAGTGTGGGTAGATCCCACGATCCGTAATCAGCCATTATATCTATAAAAATTAAAGCAAACGAGCAAGGTCTACGAGGTCGAAATTACGTTGACACTCTCTAAAATTGAAGGTACGAATAGTCATGAACTTAAACGTGTTGTGCGCCACCTATAATTCAGGGAAGACAATGTGCAGTTTTATTTGCAATTAACGTTATTTTTTTTTTTTTTTTTTTTTTTAAAAAAGTGTTTAGGAATAAATTTTCAACAAATCTGAAATGATTTGAGATGATATATTTAATTGTATTTTAGACAGTAATCAAATTATTATGTTGATTATTAAAGCCGTGTTTTATATAGTTCTATATCTTCTCTGGTTTATTTCTTATAACCCATCTACAAATGTCATATTTGATTGGAAAGCTTTAATTGGTTCCTGTCATTCACCTTTATTTCTACTACCCATAATTCTTTGCTGAAAGTCCTTTACGACTTTCTTCTAGAGAGTTCAACAATTTCGAACCTGCTATCTCTTCATTTCCAGTGATATGAAGTGGTTTACACTGGATGCCCATTCTCGTTATATCCAGCAACAAGACCTTTACGCATTTTCTTTTTAATTGTCAACACTTTAAATTAAAGCACGCTTTTTGATAGGTTTTTCTCACAATTAAAAACATATAGACAAATATTTTGCAAAAGTTTCGAATATTATTATATCATTATATGTTCATTTAAAAAATCTTAAATTTTTTTCACGCAAGAAACCAATGCTCTGTAAAAATTTGTTTAAGTTCTCTGGTTCCTAAAAAAAACAGTCTAAATTTATATAACATTAAAGACAACATACGAAGAATTTTTATCAGAGTAGATTGCATGTCTTTAGATTAGATGAGTTAAAAACAGGAAATTGAATTTTTTTTTTTTTTTTAAATAAAATTATAAATATGCTGTTACTTTTTAAAAACCATATTAAATTTCAAATCATTCCCTCTTTGGTTTTTACATTTGAAAGACCATGATTATATCTCAGTTTTTGACAAAACATTATGGGTGAGATATGCAATGTTCCGAATGCCTTGGAATGTTCAGGTTCTTCCCTTATTTTAAGATTTTTTACCTGAAAGAAATTAATTCATTTTTGTATCATAGAGATATCAGTAAAATATTTACCTATTGTTTGCAAGCAACCGCTGACATGATTGCAGATTGCTTCAGAACACGAGTATTTTAAAGTGCAAAGAGGCCCATACGATCTGTCGGGGCAGATACGTTTGCAGTTTTGTCCAAAATATCCAACTGGACACTCTAGAGTAATATTAAAAAGAAATGTGAAGATAACAAACACCATCATTCTCAAAAGTCAATTTAAACAATACAAATTATGAACACTCTTACAACAGAGGTTGGATCAGGTGCCATGGCGGAATAAGCATTCTTTGCCAACCGGTCACTCTTTGTCTTGATCAGTAATCGGAAAATCGGTAAATAATTCAGTGTAAAAATAATGGCTAAAAATTTGTATGAAAAACATTAGTCATCATTCTACCTAAATATAGATTGAATTTGCATACACGGTCATTGTATTGACCATAGAATTTGCAAAATGTTGACTTTAAACGAGACTGCTGATATCATTGTATCATCGACTTATTTTTCAATAGCCAGCTTCGCTTTAGAAATTGTTCATACTTAGAACGTGCTCTTGCTTATCGAATCAATTGGGAGACATATCCTTACAGAGGACATAATAGTATATTCCTACATTAATAAGGAAAGTCGACAATAGAAATGTTGAAGTCATCAAGTTTATTATATAAAGTTTCATTGTCAGTTTGCCATCAATGTCTTCCTAGAGTAAAACATCCAAATATGAAATATGACTCTGTGGTGTCTTTTGTTTCGAGTTCAATGGGATTTATCGAATCAAGGAATGGAAATAAATGTTACTAACTGATAGAACGTCGTCAATATATTTAAATGTCGAATTGAAGGTCACCTCAAGAGACTTTTTTCCATGTAGAAGTTTTTTGAATAATTCTGCTTCATGTGAATAATAAAACAGATCTGCTAAAAAGTACCTCTTGTAATTCAAACAGATTGCCGGAAGACCTGGTCTCCGAAAACCACATAGAAATAGTCAATGAAAAACTCTAAAATATTTTTAATATCAACCAAAGTGGCACATTTTATTGTTATATATTGGTTTTGGAAAAAAAATCTGCTTTCAAATTCTCTAAAAATTTCTTGGTTTTTTTAAGTATCCACTTATGATTAACACCACTTCTCGAATGTGTTATTGAACAGTACTCCAGAAGTTTCTCCT